ATTCAAATACTTTAATTCTTTGAATTAAAAAGTGATTTGTAAAAAAAGGTATTAGCACACCACAAGAAATGTGCTTCCTTCCTCAATATTCAGCCACAACTATCTATTTGGAGATCATGCTTTATGGGAACTTAGATTTCTTCTTGTTCCTTCATAGGTAAACACAGAACCAAAATAAACCAGTCTGAAGTTTATTTTTAACAGTTATAGGTACATCCAAAGCATTGCTTCATGTTTCATTCTTCTCACTTCCTGGAGCAGCAGAGAAAGTGTGTATTTGTGTAAGAGAGAAAGACAGAGACAGAAAGAATCTGAAACTTACCTGATTTCTGTAATACTTGTGACACAGAATAGATGGGAGAAGTGCAGACAGCTGGACCTCAAAATCTTAATTATTTTCAGACAGGTTTCTCAACCTTCATTCCATCAATCAAAATCTACTTTGCACTATGCTTTTCCTGCCCACTGATCCAGTTAAAACTGTTCCTTTTGACCCAGATCAGGGTACACAGTATGTGACATAAATTCCAGCAGCTTGAAAGAACCTACTGGCATCCATATTCTATTAATGGAACATATTGACCACCTGCCAGTTTGCTATATGTCTATTTTTACTACTTGCTTCTCTTAGAAAAGATAAGTAACCTATAATTGAATTCTATGCATACTCAGCACCACTCAGTGTGATGGGAGATATTCCCAGATAATGGTGCCCATCTGCCATCCCCAAACTGCTCCCTTCCAAATATTTTGAATTCAGCTCCCAAAATTCCAGTCAATAACACCAGTGGTCCCTGACCACTCTTGGGGTGACGTGGTATTTTTAGAGATCCTTTCAAAGAAGGAGGAGAAAGATTTGGAAGAGGAGTTGCTCACCTTTGGAATGCAAAACATTTGTACAATGTCTGAAATTGTTCAGTCATAAATAGTACAGCTGAACTGCATGAGAAAAAAAAAAATCCCAGGTTCAATTGTCCATGTACAGCCTATGTTGTCTAAGCCCCTGGATAGCTGCTATAAGTCAGCAAGAATGCTGCTAACCCTAATAATAAACCAGGAAATTTAAAGCACGACTATGAGTTAATGATGAATTCATTCTTCTTATGCAGCCAAAATGAAAATATCTAAGCAAAAGGAGTAGAATCAGCAAGTCTGAGTTTCTGCCAACATCTGCATGAATAATAACAATACAGTTATGGGATGGTGATGATAACCTTACAAGAGCATGGGGGGAAATCAAAACAAAGCCTATTGTTAATTAAATATTCTTATTGGCGTATTTAGGCGAAGCAAGATGAAATGGATAAAAATCATATATAGCTATACAAGGAATACAGGTGTCTTCAACAAGTGAAATATAATGGACCTCACTTGTGGAAAATTTTCTCCTAGTGCATTAGATGTGGCACTCACAGATTATCTTTTGGGATTATGCTCCCTGCTCCTAAGCATTGCTATAGATTTCTCGTCACAATTTTAAATTAATCTGGGGTATAGAATTATTTTATGATTTCTACATCTTCTGTAGTGTTTATTATTGATGTTTTAGTATTCTGCTCTGCTATTGACTTTGGAAAATGTTTTCACTTACTTTATGATCTGCCCCGAGAAGTTTGGTTTTTGCAATGCAAGAAATAAAAGTTCTTGGCTATTTGGCAGCCTGACCCAGGCAGTCCGGGCTAGGATATTTGTTGCTGATTCTGGCTGACCTGTATTGGATATGTAAATTTTGAGACACTACACAGTACACAGACTACCATTTCCTACACTCCAAACTTTGAAGCATCTCCTGAAATTGTCCTGGAGATAATGATGTTTTCTTTATACATCTTTAATCCAAAGAACAAACATTCTCTTGTCTTACAAATCTGCAAAGATAAGCTGTTATTTATTATACGAATACATTCTTTCACTTAAGTGTAATTATGTGGGTTGGGCAAGGTCAGAGAACAATGAACAATGATCCTTGATATATGAATAAGAATCCTACCAGGTTGCTCCCAATTTCACTTGCGGTAACTTGGCCAATCCGTAACACAAATAAACTGAATGCATTTCATGAGAATAACCACTTCAATATTCTGCTCCAACTTGGTCCCTTCCATTTGACCATAACTCCCATAACCTGCATCCCAGACTTGTTGGGAATTCTGGAAATAATAGTCTAGAATGCCCAATAGGCCTAAGCAAAGCTGAGTTTAAAATATCTTGATGGTTGTAACTTTATGAAAATGCCAGCTATTTTTATAGCTGTTCATTCCAACATTTGTTATTTCCGTTTTTAACATTCAAGTTGCAATCCTAAGCATATACTAGACATAGTCACACAACATACTGACCCTCTAGAGCAGGGTTGTCAAACTGCCAGCCCACAGGCCAGATGCGTCATCTGGAAGCCGTGCCCACCCCATTGTCGGCAATAGCAAAACTGGTCTGATACGTTGCACGACGTCATGTGACGTCGCGAGTTTGACATGACTGCTCTAGAGCTAAAGACTTGTATCTGCATTTATGCAGCATGTTAACTTAAATTTGGCTACTGTTAACCAGTTTGGTTTCTGGCGGCTCATCAAGTCATGGAAACAGTCTTTTTGGTTACCTTATAGTTCAGTACATTGGTCAGTCCAGAACATGGATTCATTCATTTGTTCAGTAACTGGCCTAAGATGTCAAATGAATGCAGCCATTGAGTTAACATAGTTAGGATTGCTCTTAATTATCTAGCCAAAGAGAAAAAGAGAGCATAAAGGTATCAGTGTCCAGCCAAGTAGGGTCAATCATCTCTGGCCATGATGCTATCACTTGGGTCCTCTCTGCTTGGGGGATTGGAAGAGTGGGGAGGCTGGCCTTTGCAGTTTCTAGCCCAGGAGAGTGGTCGAGGGCAGGGAGCCCCTCTCATCCCATTGCAATCTTGCTGCAAGAAATCTTGCATATTATTCACAGGTTCAAGAGAGAATCTTCTCCCCTCCTGGTGCTGACCAGCCCTACAGCTTCCCTGTTCCATTTTGTTTTACAATACAGCAGTGGGGAACAAGCCACCAGTTACCTCAACTTCCCTTATAAAGCAGCTGCCTAGACAAACATGTTTTTTTGCTCCTGGTGCTTTGTACCAGACAAACAGGTTAATATTTCACTCATGTTTGGGCTAATGAGAGAAAGCCTCTAATTCTAAGACAATACAGTCTACAGGTTCCTGCTGAATCCAGCAGTTTCCACAGGCCAAATATCACAGGGCAGATACAAAACAGGCATCTGTAGTGATCTGTAGATTTCCCTTACCCCATTCCTGGAACAGATTAAATTCATTAGCATTGCCCTTACTTCAAGAGACTAAAGGAAATTAATAAGAAAGTGGGGAACAGTACAAAAACACTGTTTGCTTCCTTGACAACCGACCTTCATGTACCTATTTAAAAATGCTAGCACCGTGAAACTCAACTTCTGGAGCATCCCAAAGAGGAGAAAATAGCAAGGCACAGTCAGCATACTCAGCCTTTCAGAAAGAAAAAGCTGGAGTTTGATCACTGGATGAAAAGATTTAGCTTCTAGTTCGACTTTGAGCTGTGGTGTCCTCCTCATGAGAAGTTTCCTGGCTGCCAGCTCCTATCTAGAGTTGTGTTCTCTTACAAAGAGGTCACTGGAGATTAATGACACATTGGTGATTAGGGTTTGGGGTTTCGTAGTATTAACATTCTGGGGATTTCTGCTGTTCATCAGATTTCTTGATGCTTCCCATAGTGCCTGTGCCCAGGAATTATTTGCCTAGCAGAGCAAGTTCTTGTCCCATTTCAGACCAGGTCTGTATTATACACACAGCTTCAAAGTCACTGCTTAGGAGTATATATGATAGACATATGTGTGAAGGGGGAGAGGAGAGATGCAGTGATGTATGGTGCTCTCTTGCATATCTTTCATGAGTGACCTAATGATGTTACCTAGTTTGGTAATACAAGTCTGCAAGAAAACAAGCTCAGAGAGCATTAAGGACCCCTGCAGTTCAAACCTGAGCTACAATATTCTCTCTTCTATCAGAATTTGCCGTGTTGAGAAAATACTGCAAATCCAAATACAATTGCTAGGTACTTTGCAGGAGATCCAGTTCAATGGCTTTCAAAAGAAAAATAAACAACAAATGCTCTGGTTCTAATCCTGAATTGTTAAGTTGATTTTAGCAACTTTTTGTCATGCATCAAGACTTTATGGTTTAATATCTACAAATCTTACTGGGGTGGGGGGGGGAAGACTTCCATAAAATATGTTTGTGACTTCAGACCATCCAAATGTCACCAATGATCTTCTCCCTTTTTATTTTTGTTTCAGCGATCGCTAGTGATGAAGCAACATTTTCTTGTAAGCTAATAGCACAAAATAAAAAAGTCAAAACAATAGGGTTTGTTTTGCTTTTGTAGCTTGGCAAGAAACCACATGGACGTAAGTTATAGGGAATTGAATAGTAATGCCTTGTGTTTACGGCAGGCAACAGCTAAAATAATTGCACAGAAACATTTAAAAAGCATGCATGCATCATCAGTAAAGGATTGCTGCGGTTTGAGAATAACATTTTCTAAAGTGAAAACTTGGTGTAACGTTCAAGCAAATCAAATTACAAATGAAGTTCAGGTCTATGCAGCTGTAGATACATTTCTCATTCTCTCCTACGCCCTTTTTTCTCCTCTTCCTCCAAGTTATTGGCTGCAGCTTGCAGAAATATTTAGAACATGATAAGATCAAATCCTGTATTGCTATTATTTACTCTTACCAGGAAAAGCTCCAGGCAGGGCAGGGGAGGAAGATTACTAACAGCCACAAATGTCCTTTAAAATGGGAAAACAAAGTAAACATGCCGTGGAGACTGTAAGTCTATATTGTGGCTATTATTCAAAGGCACAGCTACTTCTACTTGGATTGCAATGATTCTCAAGCCCACCTCTTGGTTCCCCTGCCTTAAATAGTCCCATTGTTTCTCTCCCCCAAAATATTAAAGCTCTTCTCAGACTCACCCAGTTGCTTGTCACCCTCACAAATGCTCTCAAAATCCATATGGAGAGATTTTGTCCTTTCTACAGTTTCAGGGAAATGAACCTTTGAAGGTATTTACTCCTGCAGAATTAGATTAGCACAAGGATGACAGACTTTATGGCACAGGTATTAGAAATGGGGGTCAACATCATCCCTCCCCAGAAGAGCAGGATACAAACCATTTATGGTTATGGCACAGTCTTGAGGTTCTGTTAATCCTCTTTGCTCCCACACTTTAGAAAGTGGATATCAAATTATTCCCAGGGCAAAAGGAAATGGGTGGACTGGCATAAACATCATTGTCCATTCTAGAAAAAGCATACTGGAACATTCTGGCCTCTCTGAGAAAGGGAGAGGGATGCCTTTGGCCTTGAAGGAGGCAGTGGTGTATACTCATTCTTCAAGATATTATCCTTGGATCTTGGACGATTATCAGCCTGTCTCAAACCTGCAGTTGCAGAGGACCTGGGAGGAAATGTATTATTATTACGGTTGGTCCCACAATCAGCCAGACATTTAGTTTGGATTTGACATTTTTAAATCCAAGTCCTTCCCAGGGACCAGAGGTAGGCAGATGTTGTTACTTTTAAAAATTAAAAATATCACCACAGGATAGACGATGTTCCAAATAAAAATAACCTTTTGCAATTGTTTGTTGGTGATTTGCTTTCCTTTGCCACAGTTGTTCTACTTTTATTTGCAGGTCTTTGTATTTTGTAATTTCTCTCTAGTTCTTTTTCTTCTGTTCTGGTCTCTCCAAATACTGCAATCTCCACTATGCAGATTTTTTTTTTGTTTTGTTTTTCTTATTGACTATTGTTAAATCTGGTGAGTTGTATGGCAGGTGTTTATCTGTTTGAATTCTAAAGTCTCAGAGCACTTTGGCAAATTTATTTTCTATTGATTGTCTATTTTGTAGTCCCAGCAGTTTTTGCGTGCATTGTTTTTTGCAGACAATGATCATGATCATGATTAAGGTCCTACAGTATTTGATGTAGGTTTATAACATTGTTTTACAAATGAATGATGAGTATGCTGTTCTGAGCACAGTATGAACCTCAATTCAGGAATTCCAAACTTGAAGGGAAAATAATCTGTTTTTCCCCACTTCTGCAGTGGGAAAATACCTCAAAAATTCAGACTTTACATGTTGCTTCTAAAGAACTTGAATTTTAAGGATCAAACAAGGCAGAGAAATGTATGTTTATTCAACTCCCTCCCCAGATCAAACAACACTAGAGAATACAGACCTATTTTAACCCATCAAAGAAATAATTTGAGAAAAATTCCCTAGACAAAAATAGAAATTAATGACCTGGTAAGCTCATGTAAGAGATGGAGAAGACAGTCATAGTAACCAGTAAGAGTCTAGACTGCACAGAAAAATGTTGGTGCAAAGACCTACATAGCAATCACACATGGTGTGCTAACCAGTGAGCACAGGTGTGCAAAATTTCATTTTGCATCCTGAACTTTGATGAGAAGTGTCATTTGATTCCTAAGGCAGCTGAGCTTTACAAGCTTGATAAAGCTGCTCTCTGAACTGAGTGAATATACCAGCTTTCAGTATACTCTCACATTACATGGTGTTCATTTTATTCCTAGATTTAGAATTCAGGAAAGATCTCTTTTGGGGGCATTTTTTTTAATCATTGGGACAAATTAATAGCTTGTTGATGGATTTTCTTGTGTCAATTCACAGTCCCCCCTATTCCCATCTTCTTGGGCTCTTTGACATTTCCTAAAGTGATGTGGGCAGTTTTTCTACGACTAACCTAATTTTCCAAAGGTGCTTTTTCAAGAGACAACTGGACTTTCTTGTTTTTTTTTGAAGAAGCTTCTTAGATGAGAAGCGAAACGTCTTCAAAGAAAAACAAGAAAGTCCAGTTGCCTCTTGAAAAAGCATCTTTGGGACAACCATGACTTGGATGAATGAGAATCTCCATAGACATTTAACCTAGTTTCATTTCTTATATACAAACCACTTGTATGCCAACATTTTGTGGTTAATCCTTTCATTCCAGAAAAAGAATGTTGGTGAACATTCTATAACATCACAGAAACTTTGGCAGGAGCCAAGCAAAACAGATAGTATCTGTATGCACATAAACTCATGTGTGTATGTATGGAAAGTACTAGCACCCCCACATCACAAACCTGTCTCCCATTATTTAGCCCTGAATTACAGTAACAGGAAATTAGCATTTGCCTAACTTACTGGCACCTAAAAAGTTTACATCCCTGAAATACTAATAAATGTGCTTTTAAAAGATAATAGCTTTAAAAGCTTCATTAATCAATAACATAAATATGCAAACATGTTTATATTATAAGAGAAATATTGGAAATCTTTTGAAATAACTAATGAAGTTATTGTAAACTACCTGCAGGATCTTACTTCAGAAACATTAAGCAAAGATCCAGTTTTCTGGAAAAGACTCTAATGCTGGGAAAGATGAAAGGAAGTTGAAGAAGAGGATGAGCAGCAAGGTGAATGGATGCACTTGGTTACAATGACACTGACTGCATATTAGGAAGATTTGAAAGCTTAGGAATAGATTATCTTGAAGGTCTATCTATGTGATCACTCAGTCAAAAACAACTTGATGGCACATAACCAGTAAATCACACACTTTATTATGAACTCTGATAGGCTGATATTTTATTACAAACTTAGTTTCTCAGACAGTATATTTGCTTTATTGTGTTTCCTTAGCGTTTCCATAGTGCGGGAGCTTGGTCCAAAACACTGGTACTCAAGTATGAACATGCCCATCCCATAGAGGATTCTTGCTGACTTCATTAAATTTCAGTGGTTCTCCTTGCTGAAATTAGCAGAACAAGCTTTGCCTGTGTCAAGATGTATGGAGGGCTTGCATGTCTGCATGCAGTTCAAAATATTTTAAAAGTGGCTCACATGTTGAGGTGGCAGTCTGCCTGTGGTCCCCAGAGCCACTCCAAAACTGTCAATAGGTAAACTTTTATATGAAATGGGAAGAATATTAATTATAGAGACAGTTCATTTCAATGAAAATGACCTATATTAAAATATAATATCTAATATTTTAGACAAATGTTTTTGTCTTATCTCTTCCATGAGATGAAGGCAACATGGGCAGGTAAGTAGGGAAAGGTCCTTAGTCAAAGCACTTATGTACTGTTTTTTTGGATATTGTTCTTCTTGCTTCCAGGCTTAAATAGTACAATCTTAGGTGTCTCTTTTGTAACAGAACTTTCTGTGAAATATATATCAACCATAATTCCTACCATCTATTCTGCTGATTTAAAAATATCTCCCTCCCTGAGCACTTGCAGCCACTCATATTTTCCAAATTTTGACATTTAGTGAAGCTGAAGATTGTAAATTCCATTGCCAATATTGAAAATTGTAAATTCCATTGCCAATATTAAATTATGTTAGTTTACATTCATGTTTCCTAAACTTGGCAATTTCTAGATGTGTGAATTTCAACTCCTAGAATACCCCAGCCAGTAAGGTCATTGATTGGAAAACACAGTTCTATATTAATCAATCTTCCTTCGGTGCTTAATCATATCAAGTTCAGTGATGAGAAGAAGTAACAATGATGTGAAAAAAGTAACTTTAAAGAAAATAAAGTTCACAAACATCCCTCTTTCTCACTCATGAAATATTAGATGATGGGAGCATGAAACTTGGGAATGTGGATTTACCCACAAATATGCCATTTCCTGGGAAAATCAGTCTTGGCTGTCATATATTAATCAAGTTCTTAAAGAACTTCATACTTCACATTCTGAAGTTTCAATTGCTATGAGGAAAGATGTTCTGTCACGTACACAAATAAAAAGTCCCCATTGGTATTATTGCTTCTAGTTTTTTATTTTTTCCTGTACATGTATAGCATTCTGTGTAATATTTGGCTGTGGACAAGATTTATTTTAATTTTTTATCAGCTTCTGAGCTGAAATTTAATATGAATGCAGAGATCCTGCCCTAACAATTATAACAAACTATCACCATTTTGCAGTCTGGTGAAAACATTGCATGTGTTTAGCTTATTTTTATTTAAATACATTTAGTTTATTTCTTGTGAGAGTGGTCTACTTCCCCAATGTCAGGAAGAATTTCTGGTTCTTCTAATCACATACATTTTTATTATAGGGCCAAGAGGCTCTACTATAGAGACTATTTATTTCCTTTTTTAATGTTACCTTTACATACTCTAGAAGAGCACTACAGGTTGTTGGAGCCTTATATCTTTCAGACAAGGTTAGGAAAGGATAGAAGACAAAAATTATTGCTAAACAGCTACACCAGGACAGAAGTTGGAATCAGAGAGTCTAGACCCAAAGAGTTTCTGGGAAAGAGGTTTGGAACTTCCAGTTTTTCAGTTTCCAGGCTCAAGCCTGTAACTTCTCAATCCAATAATTTAAATTAATTTAGAGTATAATAACAAATATAGTTTAACTATATTTCCAAGCCCAATTTTGTGCCAAATTTATTAACATCTAGTTTGTTTCTGGATGCAGGGTAATGGGCAAAATGGATAATGCTATTCCTCAAAGTTCACTTCTGTGTTCTCTACTTGAAAGAGTCCCATTGTTAGGAATGTAGAGCTTAGTCAACATGACTGTACATCTCCTCTAATTATACAAGTGTTATGTCAAAAATAAGAATAAGAATGTTTAGACATTGTTGAACTACAGTTCCCAGCAGTCCAAATTAGGAAGGCCAGGACTGAATATCTTGAGCAACAGAGCTTCTCCCTTCTCTCTGGTTTAGCATTTCTGAGAATAAAACTCTCAATTTAGTAGATTTATGACAAGTGCTTTTTAAGACTTAGCAAAAGGGCAGCTGCATTAATGGTATCCTGATTGTGTACGCGCACACACACACACAATATAGAGAAAAGAAATGGGAAGATCTGTGAATAAAAAGAAGCAATTGTTTTTACAACTGGTGCTGAGAAGGAAACCAGTTTGGTTCTGCAAAATATTTAGGGTGTTTTCCTAGAAATTATGATGTGGGGCAGTGATATGATGAATCCTCATTTTATAACACTGATATTAATCCCTCTGACTTCTGCCAAAAAGCTGG